CATTTTTTGAATGGGCATATTTTGATTTTGTGGCAAATCTTGCAATATTTCCATCAAAGCACACTGCCTTCTTCACCCGCTTTAAAATTTTAAGTTTTGTAAATTAAGAATGACACTTGTCGACGCCTTATGCATCCCAACAAACCCACAGCGTCAATCATTTCGTTGTATTGTAGTTTGATACGAATAATAGGTATGTACACTCAGACACATAGGCTGGAAACTTGGTAAGCAGAGAGACGTGCACGTGAAGAAGTGGAGTATTCACCCTAGACGCACTTCCAAATGAGAACGCCAGTATTGCCACCCACGTAGAGTAGCATGACCGAGTTGAGGTCATAGGTGATCTCAAATCCGAAGCCTTGACCAATCACCACCTGCCATCCCGCACCTGCCTTCTGCTCAAATTGACGTTTCACCATCTTCGCTGCTGCCTGTGCTTAGTGCAATAAATGCCATATAAATACACTCTCCATTTATGTTGTACAGTGTTTCTTTCCTAATGCCGCAAATCTAATCACTGCGTAGGGAGTTCTTTCATTTTGATTCATTTAAGTAAATTAAAAATGGGAATTTACGAAGTTATAAAGCTACATGCTTCTCTACTCATCGTATATCATTGTGGTATAGTCACATGCAGATTAACAAAATATAAGACTAACCTACGTAATAGGAAAAAATATGTAAGCGAATCCTCGCATAAGGTGGGAGCATTTTGACCGGGGGTCAAGAGGGGAAGCAGTTACATTTGCTCTAAGTAAGGTCTCGGCGTGAACTGAAGTGGTACTCAAAAGTAAGCAGCTTACGCAGTTGTCGTCGGGGTACTTTTCGCAGGCTGTGACACACATTTCACTCACTTCAGTTATCATTTCTTCATTCATGTCAGAGTACTTAAGACAAAAAAGATTGTCATCAGACGTTGAAGAAAGCTTTCTACTTGCAAAAGTTAGTACGCTTTACTAACTTCAAACTAGCAACCTGAAGTTTGGTTAAATCTCAAAACTTGGTTAACCTGTGGACATAAGATAAGTTAGTTAACAAAGCAGACTTTACATTTGTCCTAGCAACTTTGGCAATGGCAAATACTTTTTGGCAAAAATTAGCACTCTAAATTACTGGTCTCAACTTTATACCCCTATTTAATCTCTGTAAAATCTTATGCAACATGTCTCTGTGGTTTTACATGGTATTGATGCTTTTCTACCTTTATCTTCGTTTATATTATGTAGATAAAGTCCTTCAGCCCTTTTGAGTAGTGCTAATCCAGTCTTCCTCATATCGGAAGAAATATGTTGCGAAACATGGCCATTAAGATTTCAATTTATTGTTATTATTATTTAATGATCAAGTGGATATGCAAAATCATGTATGAAATTTAAATAACCACTAGCATGGTCATGGTACTAGAATAAGGATTGAATGACAATAAATGTATGCAAAGCATTAGGCCTATCGATATTCATCATATAGGCAGCTAACTCACATTGACAAGGGGATAATTAGAGACTCCCTTGTTCACATCTCCACCCTCTCCTTCTTCCTCGGGTTCGGCCATCTTACGTCGGTTTCTTGCCCTTTTGAACTTAAAATAGATCGATAAGATCTCCTCGCTCAATGCGTAAAGTAACGTCCTGATTGGTCAGCAAACCAGCCAATGGG